GGATTCGAACCGGCGTTACCGGAAGATTTGACTTCTCGTATATATACCTGTTGATATATATTGTTCATCAAAATCCGGTGGGATAACCACTACCCCATAGGACCGATGGATGGCGAATTTGTTACCCCAGGGAACCTTTAGCAGACTCAGAACCCCGTCGAAAACCAGGTTCACTTGCTTCCACAATCCCGAGCCAAATTTCTAACAAGCTTACATATTGGACCTATCTTCGAAAGTTGTAGGAATGAGAATCACATATCAGTATATGATTGAATGAAGAACGAGTACTTCAGGGTTCTTCCGTGGAGATAGATAGCATGAGAGTTCTGGTTGCTTTCAGATGCCAAGGACGCGTACATCCGGCAATGTAATGATAGCAGCAGGAAATGCCTGAAGGATATTCCGGAGTCATATTGCTAGTGAAATACGTCCCTTGCTCCCAATATATTGTCAAACGTTAGAAAACAAACAGTTTGGTGGAAGCGTGTATTGTATGCTACTCCGGCATTCTGACTTGAACCCTGGGAGGGTAGCGGGACCTCCGGAGGCCCATAGACGACGACACGACTTAGAACGATAGGTTTGGAAAACGCTGATTGACATAACATTCTCAATAGTCTGTCTAACAGACTAGATCACTCGCAGTCCATCAAGGTCTACTGAGTAGGACACTCTAATCTAAAGTCTAGCAGAAGCTAAAAACGTGAGCTGTCGAACTTGGATGGAAACAACGCGTCCTGGTTGGACTAGTCGGAGATTATGTTTAGCTACCAAAAGTTTAAAATGGGTTTCAAGTCCAGTAATTCGAAAAGGTTCCTCTCTAGATATAAAACACTTGTTTTTATCGACCTTGCGACGGAGAAATGCCCAAGCTGCTGGGACGTTATTCTCTCATCCAGTCCCGCATTAGGGCTCACTCTTCGACTGAAGGATTCAGGTTACCCCTACGCGGACTGTTAGACATTATTTGCGCTCATTCCTAATCTTATCCCTTTTGTTCCTTTCTTCGGAGTCCTTTCTCTCTTCCTCCTTTCCCCTCCCCGTCTAAGACTGGACTAATATTCAAAAAGGTTTCCTATCATACTGAGACAGATGTCGGGCCGGGTATATTAGAGTAGACCGATGATATCACACTTCTTCAGAGTTCCCCCGCATCTCCAGTGGAGAGAAAAATGGGTTCAGGGAGTTCTCCGGTGGAGGACTCCACTGCCAAGACCAACCATCGCGCAAAATGTCCGCGAATCATGAAGCCATTCATATGAGCAGCGCAAGTGATGTGAGAGTGGCCAAGGCTTGCGTAATTTATAAAAGACTAAGGATCTCGTCGAGTCCGCCAGGATCTGCCTTGTAGCTGAGAATCGCAATTTTTTACTGTAACACTGGATCTATCGCAAGGGACGAATTCGTCGCTGCCACAATATGCGTATCTGGTCTTCCGTCCTCGCAGTGGCGAATATACTCACCCTCTCCACGGGCCGAGTGATCCCTCGCCAAGATGGGAACTCTTACGTCGGCTACCTCCTTTCTACCTTTAGCGATGCGAATCCTTCGGTATTTTGGTATCTCTCCGAAGGCTCTGATCCACTAGCATTCAAAGCTCTGAATGGAGGAAGTCCAGTGTTGGCATCAACTGTTGGCACACGCGCAGTGCGAGATGTTTTTCTCGCTTCAAATGCTGCCAGGTCTGAGTATTTCATCATTGCGACAGGTACTGAAACCATGCCGTGACCTGAAAACACAAACGCTCTAACAAGTACATCTTCCATTAGACTTGGATATCAATGCTGAGGGCTTTTCCTGGGATGAAGCAACGAGACGCGGTAGCCGTGGGCTTACGATCTGGAAGTCAGACAACCTTGTAGATTGGTCGGAACCCACATTGACAACGTATGTAAGCCAACAAACCTGGCCAAATGCAATTGATTCTGACTGTTTCCAAACAGGATTGAGGAGGATACCGCCGGCATGGCCTGGGCACCTTCCGCGGTCTGGAATGATGATGAGCAGCAATACTATCTCTTCTGGGCATCACGCCTTTATGATACCAGCGACTCTGATCATACCGGCACGGCTGGTTTGGATCGCATTCGCTATTCAACCACCAAGGACTTTGTGTCCTTCAGTTCCCCGGCTGATTACGTCGCTCTGGACGGAATCCCCTTAATTGACCAAGAGTTCCTGGAGCTCGGCACACCCGGCGCCTACGCTCGTTTCATCAAGGATGAAAATGTCAACCAGGTTTATCAGGAAACCACGACAGGTGGGCTTTTCGGCGAATGGACCCGTATTCCCGGCTATATTGGCGATAACCCGTTGTCCGAAGGGCCAGCGTCGTTCCCTGATATCGAAAACTCCGAACTTTACCATCTGTTCCTCGACAACTATGAGGAGTACGTGCCATTCCAGACAAGCGACATCAACGCGGGTTCTTGGGAGAAATCCAGTACGGCTTCTCTCCCTCGGGGTTGAAACATGGGTCTGTTTTGCGGTTAACGCAGTCGGAGTATGATGCTGTTACTTCGAAGTTTGCGACGAATTAGGCGGCATATCTTCCGGAGTACATATTTTGGTGGAGATGACGGGACTTCAGGTAGTTGATTACTATAGTATCATTTGACCCCTGTACATAATACAATGCGATTGTCACTGTGCACAAGCATAGTACCAAAGAATTGCATGAAGCTAGAGGTGACTGAGCTATTCCAGCAGCCTGCTTGTAACGGCCTATAGAATGACACTACTCTTGACCCCCTGGGGTTTGGCCACGTAGATCCTATTCGCACTGATAGAGAAGTGCTTCCAGGGTCTGCACAGTTCTTACAATAGCGTCGTCGCTAGCCTTAAACATCGCATTTATGTCAAGAAAACGCTCAATCTCTTCTAATGCGGCACGAACGTTTCCCCTTGTACGTGGACAGAATCTGCTCACGAATTCACGGTGGACTGGGACGCGGTGGTGGGACATCTCGAAGAAGTTTCGTTCACTGGAGGTTTCCATGAGTTGCGTGATTGACGTTCCGTTTGTTCGCTTCCTTTCTTTTTCGGCGAGAATGGATAGGAAATAGCGCTTATCCGCTGGGAGGTCCAGATATGCGTGCGTCTCTGGTAATCCTGGAGGCGCGGCACCAGGCACATTTTCGAGTAGTTTTGGAAAGGTTGCAGCCTTCTGCAGGGGTACAGCAAAGTTGCAATCCCAGTCAATGATACTACTAGTAGGGAAGGATTAGCATGCTGTAGCGCATGATGTTCAAGGAACGATATGGGTTCCGTGTCAACATCGGGGTTAAACGGACCCTTTGAGGTTATATTCCTCGTCAATGATGATGTTGTCATTGTGGAGATCGACGTGGACAAACACCCAGGGGCTATTTTCGTGCTGGGCGACAACATATTGGGGAATCATCGATCGTTGAATCAGATAGTCGATTGCGGTGGAATAATCTTGGCGGCGCAGCGTACGACGTATCCCTCTGTCCACGCTCTCAGTGAGCCAGACGCTGGTTGATACCTGTGTACCCTTGGGAGTCCCGTTGGGTACCCCTATTGTTGTGAGAGTGGCTCGGTAGTTTGGTTGCAAGTGGACGTACCATAAAATAGGGTTTCAGTATCCAGCGGACACTCAAGAACCATGTTGAGTATCAGGTCGGCGATCTGGTCTAGGACTTTCTGCCGATATGGCGCTGCCGGAGTGGACTGATCCCATGGCATCATGGGAGACCCTTCAATCCAATCTAGTAACATGTAACCAACTCCGACAGGGTTGCAGCCGCGTGAGCCGCAGTCCGAATACCCGTGTATACGAGGAGCAGGCACGTTGGGAGACTTGCGGGCCAGTTGGATTGGTCTAATGCAGATCTCTAAAAAGGAATCATCCTGGTTCAACGGGATCCTCGCAGCCCATCGCTCCTCCCTATCGCGAAAGCTGATGATGAAAATGATGTAACCAGGTCCAGTGATAGGTGAGCTGTTATTATCTAGTTGAGAAGCTGGAGTGCCAGCAAGGGAAGATGCCACCTCAATCAGGGCTTGCTTGTTAAGGAGCTTCAAAACCTCATCTACGGATCCCATCCTGTTCGGCAACTCTTTGAACTGCCACAGCTTGCCCGGAGTCAAAGAAGAAGTTGGCATTTGATGGGCCTCTCGGAAGGCCCAGCAAGACTGCCAGAAATGCTATATATACTCAGACCGACTACCACTATGTGATGCAAGGGTTACTGGGTCACCGTGACAGACACCTGTCATACACGTGCTTAGTTACACAGCATATCGCTATCCAATTATATAACAAGGTGAGTCGTCCACTTTGATCCATGGCGATTACTTTCGAGTGTTGTCAAATGTCAATTGGCAGCTGCACCATGGACGCGTCAGACGGGAACATGCATCGGGATACGAGTGATAATATACGAAGCGGTCAAAATGGAATTGGTCACTGCTTGATCCACGGGCAATAGATGCCCCTCATTTCTCTCTTCTGTGCGGCATGCAGACAAGACGGGAGTGTCGAGAGCTTTTCGCAGAATATCTCATGATCTTAATGACAATCACGCCTGGGGAAGGCATTGGTCGTATATGGCTGATTGAGATTAACTCAGATCCCTTCTGGTCTTACTGAAGGCTATTTATTTGAAGGCAAATATCCCGCACATCCTCCTTCTTATGAAGATCTCAATGTAAATCGAGCACCTTGGCTTTCCTCATTCTGAAGTCTCTCTTATACTCTCCTGTGCCCCGCTCTCACTATGGTTGACATCGAAAAGCCTTATAGCATCTCGGCCTTCAATTCCTTGCCTGATCTGCACCACGCACAGGAAGACTTCATAGTCAATGGCGGTCCTGAGCTGGTCAACAATGTCCTCGGACCCTTGATCGTGCAGCATCGATTGGCATCCACGCTTGGCGTTGGCCTATTGCACCGTCACTTTGACCTTTCAGACAAGGAGAAACTGGTTGAGTTTAACCATGTTTCAACGCCATGGATGCATCAGCAAGGTGACAAGCATAGCGGAGGCCGAATCCTACCTTGTGCCTGGATGATTGATGGCACCGGTCTCGTTCCGTATGAGTTCTATTTCTCGCCGCTTTGCCATGATGCGAAAGTTGAACTAGCTGTCATGGCTCCATTTCTCCACAACTTTATACACCTCATTAAAGATTCGGGATTGGAAAAGACCATTGGACTTCGCTTGTTTCCTCGTTGCGGCTTTACAGGCGCGCTGGAAATGACCGAGGGGAGAGCAAATATCAATTTGACACCCGACCAGGTAAAGTCCAACCCATCCTGCAACGGTATTTCTGTGAATTGAGAAAGCTAATCACATAGTTGTTTGTATTTATATATAAGTACAGGTCCCAGATGAGGCATGGAACGGTGCCACAGAAACCATGTGGTTTTTCGAACCGAGTTATCTACAAAAGCAATATTCGTGTAGATGCAACACCACGTCAGGACACATGCATATACATCGGCCGTGATTGTGAGGGATGTAGAGAGAGGATGGTCCTGAAAAGTACTGACCAAGTTCTCGAGATTGTCTTTTTTAATTCTCAAGCATATCGCCTGTTTCTCTGGGTTATCGCTTGCCATGCGCCCCATCTCTTACATAAGTGCGTTTTCCACGATCTTGATATGCCCTAATTCAGTTTCTTCCACTGCGTTCAAATGTAACTGCACGTAGAAGGCAATCGCAAGTTCTTTGCCCAAGTACTCACGGCCATTATCCTCGCGTATTGCAACTAAGCCGACGACCTCTACATCGTCTAGGAAGCGGTGGCATGAAGCAAATGCGCCTATTCAGTAGTACTGATTGCAGTGGATAGTTGGACGGCTATATCGTGACAGGCCGATTAAATCACACTGGATAGCGTAATGTGCACATCAACATGTCCGTTGCAATTGCTGTGAGCTGGATCTATTTCTGGAGATTCGAAGCCGCTAACTCGCTGCAGAAACCCGTAATCGATTGACTAGGGGCTGCCACTGTTTACATCATGCACAGCCTACTCCGCCGAGGCTCAATCAGCATTCAACTCGCGTGTTGGCTATGCCGATCTCTTCCCGTATAGTCGTGAGATACGCCGATCGCCCCCCAGCCAATTTCCAGATCGAGCAAATCAGGCCAAAATGCAAGCGGGCAGGACAAAATCCTCCAAGAGAGTGTTGTCTTCGAATGATATAATACGGCTACAGTCCCCCCTGCACCGACGGGAATCGAACACCACAATAACCAGCTCAGCACAATGGCACCCTCATTATTGAAAATCGGACTTCTGCCTACTCTCGCGCTGGCGCTTTGCTGTGGCAGAGCGTTGGGTGAGCCCTGGAAGGTGATCGACACGGATTTTCCCGACCCTAGCGTCATCAAGACCGACGATGGATATTACGCCTTTGCAACTTCTTCACGCGGCGTCAATACTCAAATCGCTCATTCTGCAGATTTCCACACGTGGAATGTCTTGGATGGCCAGGACGCACTTCCAGGCCCTTTCCCTAGCTGGGTAAATGGTAGCCATCCGAAGGTCTGGGCTCCAGATGTTATCCAACGGGTGAGTCTATAGGTGTTTGCCACGCAAAGGGAAAGCTCCAACTAAGGATGACAGAATGATGGAACCTTCGTCATATACTATTCCGCCGCCACCAGCGGAACCAAGAGCAAACACTGTATTGGCGCCGCAACCTCTTCTTCAGTTACGGGTCCCTACTCGCCAGAGCAAGATGTACTTGCCTGTGATAAGGGCAAAGGCGGTGCCATCGACGCTGCGGGCTTCAAGGATGATGACGGTACATACTATGTTGTGTATAAGGTGGACGGCAACAGCCTGAACCAGGGGAGCGAGTACCACCCCACGCCTATCATGCTGCAGAAGCTCAAGTCGGATGCCGTGACTCCTGACGGGGACGCCGTGCAATTGATTGACCGCGACGATGCCGACGGGCCCCTGGTCGAAGCCCCTAGTCTCGTGAAGAGCGATGGCCAGTATTACCTGTCGTTCTCGTCAAACTGGTACAACACCCTGAAGTACGACGTTAGCTACGCCGTCGCGTCGGCCGTCACCGGTCCGTACACCAAGGCGTCGGCTCCAGACGCGCCGTTGCTGGTTTCCGGGGATAGCAGCGATGTCGGACCGCTTGGTGGTCCCGGTGGCTCTGATTTCCGCGAGGATGGAGGTGCGATTGTATTCCATGCTTTTAACAATGGGCAGAATATGACCAAGGGCCGTGGGATGTGGGCGGCCAACGTCAAGATCGGTGGAGGGAAGATCTCCGTGCAGTGAGTGAAGGGTATGGGGTTGAAGTGCCGTTCATGAAATGGATCAATTTGTACGAATATCGTCGTTAATATACATGCATGGTATAATTACACATCTCATGGGGAGAGGCAGGTTGCTAATGAGGGTGACCGTGTTTCTTTTCCAGCTCACGCCATTTCTGAATCACGACAGCTCTCTCCTCCGCTGACGAGGTACACATTTCCTGGATACCCTGTTTGAGTCGTGACCGTAAGATGTACTTCGTCTTGTTCTTTGTTATGGAATTGCGAAGGCTCTTGTGTAGTCCATCCAGCGGGAAGCCTGCTAGTCCCCAGATGCCTATCGAGGGTTGTAGGTTAGCCTAAGCCGAGAAACATAAGAGAGTCGAGAAAGGCATACCTGCAGCGGGCTTCAAGAACACGCCACCCACGCCCTTTCCGACGCCCTTGACCAAGCCTCTGCCACCGGATTTCTGGAAACCCCGAGCAGGCTGCGTCAGAAGACCAGTAACGCCATAGTAGAATCCTTCGGTGAACTCCTATCAACTGGTCAGCATCCTGCCTGCAGACCGCGCATCGGGTAGGCGCTTACGATCCCGGCTGCTCGAAAGCCACTTTTCACATTGCGGACTCTCGGAATCCGTTGCACCGTCGTATCATGATAGAGCTTGGGTGCATTATGGAAGCCCTTGGCTAGGCTCAGCGTCAAATCGGTGGGTAGCATAATCGCAAAATTAAGCACTTGCTTGGCGAACTTGGAGGTGTGGTAGCTTGTTTCCGCTAGAACCTCTTGTGTACCGATTTTCTGTTGTTTAGCTCGTTTCTGGGTCAGCGTGCGTTCCAGATCGAGTTCATTCGCAGCGCCATCGGAGTCATCAACCACTGTATCTGCACTACTGCGGTCCGACTGCTCTTCCTCGGCCGAGGCGTATTCGTTTTCACTCCCTGATTCTGAAGCGGAAGACCCATCGTCGCTCTCAGATTGGTCTTGACGACTGGCGCCACTGACAGGCTCATTGGATGATCCCTCTCCTGTTTGTTCTTTCGACTGCTCCAGGCTTGCAGTACAGTGTGACTTTACCCAATCTCGCTGGTTGATATGGTGGTTGTGATGGTGACGCTTTCTTTTGCGGTTTTCCTTTGAAAGCATTCCAACCAGGTCCGTAGGCACCGTGGCAAGGCCACTGACGAAATCGCTGACAACCCCGTATAGCACCTCAGCACCGGCGGAAAGCGGTCCTTGCGGGTCATGGTTCGTGTCGTAGTGCTTAGAGCGATACCTGAAACGTCGGAGTTAACAGTCATACCACGCGTTGCTCTGAGGGAAAGAGCATCTCACAGTTCAAAGCTATGCGGGTCCACAATCCCAGCCTCCACTAGAACCGCTGCCGCAAACGCACTCAACTTGATGTGCAGATGTTTATGCCACCAGACCGCAGGACGGGTAGGACATACCGCGCACCGCAGGCGGCGCAAATCGAGATGTTGATGAAAGCTGCAGACGGCGTTTTGCACGCCCTTTTCTGTCCGCATGCCTTTGCCTATCTCCTCGGCCTTTTCTAGAGTAGATGGCTCTAGAGCTTTGTTGATTGCTTCTGCTAGTTTCTCTGCGGTCAATTGTTTATATGGCACGGGCTGTGGCCCAGCACCGGCGCGCGCCACAATCGATCCCCAGAATGGCTGATCGCCGAAGAAAGGTACAATTACCGTCGGACGACCCAGGACCAGCCCGGCAGCAGTGGTGCCTGCACCACCATGGTGAACGACGCATGAAACATGCTGGAAGAGCCAGTCGTGTGGAACCTTGCCTAGCAGCATGACATTTTCGGGAATCTCAGCCCTTCCTTCTCCGATATTGCCCCATCCCTTCGACACGAGCGCTCTCGTCCCCGTCAGGCGGACCGCCTCGAAGACGATTTCCGTCAATTTAGCGGGATTATCCACTACAATGGAACCAAAACCGATATACACCGGGGGGTCGCCTGCTTTGAGAAATGCATCGAGATCGTCCGGTGGTTTGTAGTTCGTGTCGCTGGGCAGAAACTGAAACCCGCAGACGTCGATGTTTTCACCCCAGTCCTGAGGCTTGGGAAGGAGGCATGGGGACCTGTAGTGATTAGCGGTTGTGTGAAGCTTTCCAAGTGCGTGACGTACCACAGGTAGGTATATGGTATCTGCAACCGATGTGCGATACTGGGAGCCCGAATGGCATCCAAGGGGTCCAAGCCCAGCTCCCTCTTCCGAAAGCGATTGATTAGGTCACCCAGGCCTTCCCAGAGCATTACCTCGACAATAGCATATGACGCGAAATTCGCAACGGATGGCTTGGTATTCCGCGCCCGGATATTGGCCAATGGATGGGGAAATGACTGTGTCGCCGACCATGGCATCCTACACTCTCAGCATACGACGACGGCCTCCGCGAGAACACGGACAAACTCACGTAAACATCATATTCACCGGAATCCCTAGCTTCTCTGCACAGCTCAGATGCGCGAAACTGGGTGGGTTCGCAATGATCACGTCGGCGACAAACGGCTGGCTGTTGCAATCTGGAGCCTCGCTCCACGGATCCTCCTTGATATGATGCATCCCCGTCCCATCCCCAGTCTCAAAGCACGAGCGCCAGCACCCAGAGAAAATCGTCTTCATTTCCCGACGACGCTTTGGGATCGCACCGCTGCGAATCGTCCGCATATCCGGCATCAAACCCGGATTGTTGACCATGAACGCCATCAATTCTGCGGGGTCGCCTCCAATGTTGAAAAACTCCAACCCTGTTTCATTGATATATTCACGAAAGGAGAGATGGGTAGCCAGCCGGACCCGGTGTCCGTGCTTCTGTAACTCCTTTCCCAACGCAACGAACGGCTGCACGTCGCCGCGAGAACCCACCACGTGGATAACGATGTTTAAACGCAAGGGAAACGTATCCTGTCCCTCTATCGACATAACCGACGGTCTACGGTCCCCGCGCAGGGGCTTCGGGTACCGTTCAAGATTCTTTACCAGATTGAGCAGCCAGGGCTTATGTTCGCGAAACTTGATATCCAATCGTCCGTCATCTGTTGACCATGAGACACTTTTCCAGCGTAACCGCCTGCGCAGGGAGTGGAATACACACCCATCACACGAACACCAGTATTCAATCCCTGCTCTCGAACATGCGCACGGCCACCACCAACCGAGCGATGCCTGGGATGGAGCTGCTCATCCGGCCAATCCCCCGCCGTAATGCCCTGTTCATGCGGTCGGTCCGGTGAAGCTGCTGCTGCTGCTGCTGTTGCCATGATGCTGGTGGATACAAGATCTCCGTGAGTGCATTTGTCATACACCCCTTAGTCGTACGTATGATTTCAATAGCCAAAGTGAAAGAGAAATAAGATCTGAAGACATCATCGAACTTGGGTGATGATGAAAAGTTTCCAGGGAGCCGACCGATGATGTCACGGTCCGATGGATTAGCTTCGGCAGATCACCGGTCGACCCGAACCATTCTGTGGCTTAATTCCATGCCGAACCGGGTTGGGTCCCCCGCTGGTGAGTTGTGCTGTTGTCATTATTAAAAAGTTTCCTGGGACTCAGACTTACATAGTACTTACTGCGATTGACTCATTCCGCTAGTTGATTGTTAGTGGTCGCTGTGTCCAGTCCCTGGCCAGCCCTATCGGGCCGATCCCGATTCTTGGTGCGTATGCGTGATGCCGAGGTTCATCCTTAAATTTGCCTCTTAGCGGTCCACAATACAAATCTGACAAGGTAAAGGTTAAAATCTTGAGTTCCTCGGATATCGTGCACACCACTTCAATTCTTACCTCGCTTCCCAGGTCCATCCAGTATCAGGAGGCAACTCGACCATCCGCGGAGTTCGACGGAAGCCCCGGTCACGTTCCTCGGCCTTGCTGTCTTTACCAAGTAACGTAACCTCATGAGAAAGTAATCGTTTCCCATGGAAACTTGTTAAAATCCCGGTATAAGGAAATTTCATCTGGTGGCTTGTCCCTCATTACAGAATTCGTTATAGTCAGATAAACTGGGTCTCTTTAATCCGTTACTAGTTTTGTCGAAATATATATCTCCATCATCACTAAGCAGATTAGTACTTGGTAAAGCGGACCTATAATGCTAGCTCTCTCCGGAGTATAATACAATATAATCACATGTTTCTTATTTAACTGTGTGTTCACAATAGCAGCACTCCTTACCATTTTGGTACAGAATCGTATTATAATTAGTACACGTTATAAGCAATTTAAACCGCTCGCTCAACTGGTTACTTACAAAAAGCCTTGCTAGCAGCGGCTTCTGAATGTCCCTCGTTAGGATTCTAGCATGCATGTGATTCTATGTCGTTTTGGACAGGAGAAAAGGTGAAAGCAATCCTGGAACAAGTATCGGAGGTAGCTCTGGCTGCTCTGCGTACAGTGGTCTCATCTATAGGGCGGGAAAAGGAGTGGAGAAACTAGCATCCTTTGCTATAGACATGGATCGGGGTTTGCGCCAACCGACCTCTTAACAAGGGCAACGTCGCACTCAGTCAGGGGGCACAATCCTGTAATATGTCTTCTAGCGTCCGACAAAAATCACAGAAATATACAGAATGACCCTTGAGAAAACGTTCTCCAGCGCGGACTGTAAGGCCTCTGAGGCTAGCGACAGGGCGTGTGCGAAATTGACCATACCTGGAAGATGATATCCCTGCCATGATCAGGACCAGATATTCCTTCTCCCCAGGATGATTCCTAGCCCAAAGAACAGCAAGACCAATGTCCCAGTCGGTCGGGTACTCGTAAGACTCACAGTGCGGTACTAGAAACTTTAGGCGGGTATGCTCTAGTCAGTCATGATAGTTGATAAAGACCCTCGCTGTGGTAGCGGTAGAGGGTCACAACGTGTTTGTTCACTCAACCAGCGCAATGAGCAAGTTTGCACCCGATAGAGGGCAGCCCATGGTCAGTGTTCTGACGTGGCTTTTAATGATTACGGCTATTCTTGTAGTCTTTGCTCGGCTTGGAACTAAATATTGGATCATCCGACGGTGGACAGCGGACGACTACCTCTGCATTGCATCAATGGTAAGGGTCAACCTTAGCCGTGGTTGACAGCACCGTCGTGACCGAGCCATAGTAACCAAGATTTCTCCAGATTATCTGTGTGGCCCAGTCGATCGCTGTTTCCATGGCTATCGCGAATGGCTATGGCAAGCATTCTAAGTCACTCTCCGAGACAAGCATAGAAAACATCATGAAGGTGAGCTCCTACAAGCATGGCCCTCTATAAGCTATTCATACTGCCCTAGTCTCAATATGCTGCGGCTATTCTCTTTATCGCCAGCATGCTTTTCTCTAAACTATCGGTCATTTATTTTATCCGAAATGTGACGCCGGCATTCCATCCCGATCGACTGATCACTGCTAGCCTGCAGGCTTTGACTATCCTGTGGGCTGGCATTGGTATTCTCACTGCTGCATTCCAATGTAAATTGCCTCGGACCTGGGACTATGTCCACGGCCAATGCATCCAACGTGGAAACTGGTGGAATTATCTGTGTGTGATGAATATTCTGACCGACACTGGGGTGATGGCTTATGGGATCTTCATCGTCGTGCGGCTTCAAATGCGCCTGAAGAGGAAGGTTATACTGATGATTATTTTCGGATTGCGCACCTTGTGAGCGGACGGACATTTTTATACATCTTTTATTTGTGGCTGATCGGGTCTCAGTGTTATTGCCGCCAGCGCTTGTCAGGCTTTCTACGCCAACCAAGCAGCCGAGTCCCCCGATCCGATGTCTGATACCTCGCCGTTTACCATATCTACTCAGGTCACCCAGTGTTTGGGGCTCATCACCTGTTGCTCGCCTGAATTGAAGCCATTCATAGAGAATCTTCGCTCATTGGGCTTCTATGTTGACGGGAAATCGCGTCACGACGCTTCTGCAGTGAGATACAATGATCGGATGACACGATCACATAACGAGGAGAACCCTTGGTGCAAGCAGCATGAGTTGGAGACTATTTCTCACTTGAAGAGCTCTCATCGAACCGTTGTTACTGCGTCGTCATCAAAACGAGATTGGGATGAAGGAAGCCAGTCGAGCCAGGCTCACATCATCCATGAAGTCCGTACATGGACTGTTACCGAGTCGGTATGAGAAACTTGGCCAGCGCACCTCTACTGGCGCGAAGAGACCCTCTTTTCGTTTCTTTCCTGTATTTGTCTGACTTTCGTAGTGGAAATTAGGTATTGGTAATTGCAATTCATTATTCGCTCAAACTGTGGCGTTCTAAATGCGCCCATTCCTTTGCCGTGTACAACCCCTTCTTCTCTCTCTCTCTCTCTCCCCCCCCCCTTTTTCCATTTCTTTTTTCCCTTTTGCCCGCATCTTGCGGTCGCTATTTACCCTAGTGATGCTTGTTTGTCCTTTTACAGTAGGAATAATGGTAGATCATTATAGGATGTAGGCAACTAGACCGGTTATTCCCTGTTCGGCGGGAGGGCATACCCACAACGGGGACATGGCTATCGGACCGTCAAAAGCGGATCCAGTCCACTGATCTCCACACGCGGTGCATCCTGGATGTCTTGCAAGCGGGGCGATAACTGCAATCCCGGACTTCAATTGGGCTTGTCCCCCATTGAACCCTTGTCAGGTTGCGTCCTCGCCTCCATAGGTGCCCGGTGTCGGCTGACTAGCCTGCCAGACCTGCCATCTCATTCATACCATTTCGTCGACTGTCCAATATGGTGTAATTTATCGTTGTACAGCAGGGATCGCACAAAGAATTGAGCGACCCATCGAGTGGCTACGTGCAGGCTAGGCCGGAGCTATTGTAAGTCCCTCGCGTCGCTGGTCCTGCTCAATTTCGTTTCTCTTTCTTATCACGACTTTGGCTGAAGAGTTCCATGACTGAACGTGCCATGCTTTCTATACTTACCCGTGTATACTGATTGCGAGCACGCAGCTGAAATCTTCAACATGTCTACACACGAATTGAAGCAAATGGCGCCCCCTGCGCTGAGCGAGGTGGAGGGACAACCAATCTACCGAGACAAAGATGATGTGTATTTGACTCGCATGGGGAAGCGCCCTGTATTGCAGGTGAGGTGCCCCCAAAGGCCCCCTCTCTGACAGTGGTACTAAGATCATCCTTCGAAAGAGGAACTTTGGGTTGATGTCCATGTTGGGATTTAGCTGCACGCTGCTGGTCACATGGGAGGGATATATCATGTAAGTCATCATATACTCTGCGCGGTGTTGACTTCCTGGCTAAAATTAGGATTCTTCGCAAGATTGTTTCTGCAGTCCTTTCAAAAGTACTTTACACCCGCTGCATCAAAGAGTATGGAATCGATTACTGACTTAGACCCAGTGGCGGCCCGGCGGGTTCTGTCTATGGCTATCTTTTCGTCTGGGCTGGGATCGCCGCCACCTTTGTCGTGATATCTGAGCTTGTGTCCATGTAAGCTTCCATGAAGCGTACACACTTGGAAAGCGCTGATGAACGATCGACAGGGCTCCTACGTCCGGCGGTCAGTACCATTGGTGCTCGATGTTGGCGCCTCCGTCGGCAATGAAGTTGGCCAGTTATATGACAGGTACGTCTATGCCAGGAACCACAAGGGCTGCCTGGGGTTTGATCGTTTACGATAAGGATAGGTTGGCTTACCGTGATCGGATGGCAGGCCACATTCGCATCCGCAATGTACCTGAACGGGAACATGATCCAAGCGCTTATTATCCTTACCAGGTCGGATTATGTCCCTCATCCATGGCGGAAAGCCCTTTATGCATGGGGACTCTCTGCGCTCTCTGCGCTCATCAATATCGTTGGCGGCAAGTTTCTGCCCCGGTTTGAGGGCACCATTCTGATCTTCCATGTCTTGGGATTTTTCGCTATCCTGGTTCCCTTGACGTATATGGCAGACCACAAGTCGTCGGCCGAAGAGGTATTTACCTACTTCATCAACCAAGGCAATTGGCCTTCGAAGGCGCTGTCAGTCTTCGTCGGATTGACTGGTCCTGTTTTCGCTTTCGCTGGCGGTGATGCCGCGGTCCATGTATGTCCACAGTGACTCTTGCACGGCGAAGGATCTGCTAACATTCGAGTTAACTATAGATGGTTGAAGAGATGACTAATGCAACAACCGCTGTTCCCCTCTCTCTGATGCTAACTGTGCTAATCAATGGATCCATGGGATTTGGGATGATGCTCGCCTTATATTTCTGTCTGGGTGATATCCAAACTGCACTTCAATCCCCGACAGGCGTCCCTTTCTTTGCTATCTTCCTGCAAGCAACAGGATCCGTATCCGGCACGGCGATTGCAGGTGCTTTGGTAATGTCCCTGGGCAGTTGTAACACAATTGGCACCTTAACAGCAGCATCACGACAATTCTGGTCCTTCTCTCGTGACCGAGGGATTCCTGGCTGGCGGGTGTGGAGTAAGGTATATGGATCCCCTTACGCATCGGAATGGCCTATTCATTGAAACTGAAAGCTCCATAGGTGACTGAACGTACCTCCATCCCAACATATGCAGTCCTCCTTACGGCCATTGTCGGGTGCCTCCTGAATTTGATTACCATTGGCTCAGACGTGGCGTTCAACAGCTTGGTGTCCATGTCAATTTCGGGTCTTTATCTATCATACATGACTGCTGGAGGACTATTGCTCTACCGCCGTTGTACCGGCGGAATTGGGGATGCCACCACGGGTGAGCAGACCATGATCAACACGGCAGGGGCTAGGGTGGTCTGGGGACCATTTCGAGTTCCAGGCATCCCAGGTATAGCCGTTAATCTCTTCTCCTTGGCCTACATGACAATCGCTACGTTCTTTGGCTTCTGGCCTACGACTAAGGATGTTAACACACAGACGATGAACTATAGCATTGTCGGAACAATGGGGGTTATTATACTTAGCCTTATGTACTACGTCGTCCGAGCGAGGAAGGTGTACACTGGGCCTCTTATCGAGATATCCTGATGGTCAGATTGGAGACCATGGTCCACAGGTGCGACAGTTTGAGTTATGTTTCTATAAGTGCTATTCTGATACTAGCTCTCCAGGCTGGCTATCGGAGAGTAACCAATGCCAGAACTTATCGCTCAACCTGCGCCACAGTTAATTTAAAGATGAAGTAGTGTTTGGTGTATTCACTGAATTATGCTTCTTTCCAAATCTGCCTCACGGCGCGAATAGCCACTCCCAAAATTCATACTATAACCGTTCTCATGTATTAGTAATTATTATATTATCTAGTAGAAATAAACCCTAGAACTATTGTTGGAACTTGGCTGTTAGGTAGCGATATCTCCGTGGCTACGTTTGTCATAACGGACTAGTGAAAGTAATGCTTGAAACTTGCCACCATACTCTATGGGATATAGCTCTTTGCTGATACCGCTGCGGTTGGGCCGAGAGATGAACAAGGGCTATGGAGCTATGGCAAAGGCGAGGCAGTAGCTATTCTCAGTGCTCGGTGGCTTTTATATAATGCATATGTTGCTTTCAGGACTGAACATAAGCTAGTAGTATGTTGACAAGTTTATTTGATCTCAGTGATGTGGCCTGATTTGTCCAAGATATTTTATGGCTCATATTGCCTCAAGTAGGTAGATGTAGTGGCCTCGTGGTTGGCTACTTGCGTATCTTGTCTCATTGACATGCCATGCTAGTAGTTATATTGAGTTGTCAACATGTTGGTTCTGCTCGACCTTCTCATAGATAAACAATGCATTGGCTAATTGAGAAATTCTGCACCGGAGATATTACACTAGCTATGATTGACGTGTGGGACATAGTCATTTTATACCACCGTGGTCCTGCCGTCGGTTGCCTTGAAGAAGATCAGCTCTATACTATGATCTACAGGGGTAGGGCATTTGCACATATAAAAGATAGTTTCGAAGAATGCTGATCCTCTTTGTCTGAGTATCTGATAGAGTGTAACCTCGAGGACTCTGAGATTTGTTGTTCATTAGTCAAGTAAATCACCCAACCTACTGAACAGTAACAAAGGCGTGGCTCTCTGACTTTCACGATGAAACCAGAACGAGCTAAATTTGGAACACCCCCAGACTAAACATCAAACATTGTTGTTCAGGGAGCCATGAATGTAACCTCGTTGCTGCTATGTCAAGTGTCGGTGGCGGGTCCATCCACAAAAATTGGATTGTCTAGAAAGTCTAACCGCCCACAAATTGGATCTGCTCCACACACGATCAAACTTCCCATCGCGGTTGGAGATGCTGGCTCAGGATGTTTCAGAGTCCTACTGCGTTGTATTGGGACCTTTCTGTTAACATCGTTATGAAATATTTAATGGCCTGGAATCCGTTGCGCTTTTGTTGTGCTTGATCTGTATGCCTCAATTCCTTCATCTATTCTACCAACAACTGTGACCTATCGTGTTCACTATTCTATCTTCCTTGACTCTCTGTTCATAATCACCCACCGACAGCATACAATACCCTCATCATGCAGATTCACGCTACCCTCGCCGTGGGCCTTTCCATTCTTGGATTTACTCTTGCCAATCCTTTCAAGCATCCAATTGAATGGAAAGCATCCGCCTTCGCTATCACCTGCGGCTCAGAAGATTGCAACTACAATTTCAACATAGTGAGCAATGCCACCGGACCCTCAAGATTCAAAACCTCCTGCTCGGGGATTCCGGCCGAGGACGACTACAACCCGTGCCAGGACGAAAGCACCGAAGCCAAACTGCAGGTTGTGCCAGGGACGCACCCGATATGGAGTGTACACGTACAGCATACTTGGATGGAAGGAGAAGCGAGGTATACCGCTCACGGCGACGCTAATATTACCGACACCGCGAAGAGCTTCACGGTTCCTGTCACGCGGGTGTCTGGGGTGGTTTAGAGGCAAGGACTGGTCGTGATCGATGGAGAGGAGTCTACGGTTCCATGTTTTAGTCTTGCTTGGGATAGTAAGTGTCATCGCGAGAAGGACAGGCGAGGCTTACCTTGGTGTAATGAATATGTCTTCTGCACACACTGGTAGTATTGGCGGTAGCGCACAGATCGTAGTAATATCTAGTTATAATGAAAGGATTACCATTAGATAGGAGGACCAAGCCAGCAGTGGGGCACACCACACTGCTGGATGTATATACATAACCGTTATAACTGCCCTCCTTGAACTGCTTTCTGATTTCTACTAGCGTACTCCAAATGAAAATTGGTCTCTTGGTGTCAGACCTTGGCGCCAGAGCTCCAGAGGTGTCCTCGGGTTAACCGCCAGGCTTTCCTGCAACCAAGATAATGACAGTGAAGCAGACCTTTGTGATACATTCTTGAATTTGCAATCTGAAGAGCTCAGCATCGAGATACAAAGAAAAAGGTAATCATGAAAGTATTAGCGATGTCCCAACAGAGGAAGGTAACCGCAGGGCCTTCAGGGCCAGCTAGATAATAGAATCGAGACTTCCTTCTCTGCTCTAACCAGTGTTCAATACATACCTCTGGCCTTGGACGAGCCTAGGTGAACTAGAGCTGGTGTCAGGTTGATCGTTTAACTCTGAGAATCGACAGAGTACTCTTGGCCAGGTCGTAATATATACTGTCTTTCTTAACCTGTGACCAGGGCGGTATGGGTACTGCTGGGGGGACTCGCTTTGCCCTGATCAACTGCAGTCGGGCATGGATAGCCTCAGCTATACGTCCAGACCTAACTGTGTACTCCGCCTCTGGTAATATCTCATCTTGAGCCTTCTTCAATTTCTTGGCCCTGCCGTCGTTCTCGATCAGCAGAATTTCCTTTGCCACCAGCTGGGCTAATTCCTCTGCTTCCAGCTCGTACAGTCTCAAGCTTTCACCATCTTGTTGCCATGACAGGGACGGAAATCGGCTGTAACTATCCCCAAGGCATCCGTTTCTGTGGGAAAGACTGACATACTCCTTCTTAAGGACCTGGGCAATCGTCTTTCTGACATGTTCGTTTTCTGCCCAACAGTTCAACAGCCACTCTCCAAACTCCGTGGCGTCCACATGGAGATCCAACTGGTGGTCCAAGGGTAGAGCAGCCAGTTCGAACTGGTCACGATTCGCAATGCGGCTCATATGCAGGATACTTTCCAGTGATCGGTTGCCGTGGCGAAAGCTAGAAACACGCAGCAGTGCTCGCAGAACATTCTCGTTGACGTTGAGCTTTTCATCATTCCGCGATAGAAGACGGCTGAGTTGGAAATTCAAAATGATTGCTCGCCTGACGGGATAGGTTTTATCATGTTCATCGATTTTGTCGGGTCCCCAGATATTGACAAAGCCGCGCAGGCGACTTACGAAGTCGGGCTTCTTTGCAGCCACAGCCTCGGGGGTGTGAAGAGTCTCGCGAAAGTTTTCAAAGGTCGGAGAGGTGCCTCCGATGAAAACAAAAATGGCGGGCCCCAGAGGTCGATGCATGCCCCGTTCCAGGAACTTGCCGTCCTGCATCGGGGCAAGGAAGTATTGCAACCAGCCAAGGGGCTTGCCCTGGAAGAAACTGTCAAACTCGTCGAACAAGACCAGCGGCATCTTTTTGGAAAAGCTCTGGTCGCGCACAGTATGGAATGCAGCTAACAGATCGTCGTATTCCAGAAACTGAGACAGGTTGAACTCCAGCTCCTCGACTTCCTTCCCCTGGCGCTTGGCCACTTCGGCAATCACCTCCTTCACTCCAAATGACTTTCCTGATCCAGGTCGACCAAAGGCTCCAATTGAGAGAGGCTTGCTTGGTGTTCCGTTCATGTACTCCTCAACTAGGTTGGAAATGGCCCGAAAGCTCTCCATCTCCTGGCGGTCTGCTGTACACAATTTACCGTACCTCGCCACGGGGACTTCAGTCAGTCCCTTTTCTGTGCCCGACTCGGTAATCGTCCTTGCCAGCTTAAAGAGCGTTTCCTCATCCGGACATTGGCTGGTCAGAAAGCTCGAGTCGGCGGATGCCGAACTAGGAACCAGCAACGGCTTCAACGGTTTAAATTGGCTCGGGATATCATCCCCAGAGATCTTCGGGTAACTAAAGGACAGGATGCCACCTGAGCTGATTGGAATAAATCCGGCCGAGACCAACTGGCATGCCTTTTTTAGCCCATTTTTGATCGCATCCCCCATGCTGAGCTCCAAGTCCCTACTCAGAGTAGAGTCCGTGGCCAGTTGAACCGCGAGTCCTGCGGTAAAGGCAGTTGCTGCCCCAATCATTGGCCCGGAATGAGCGGCCACATAGTCTCCTTCTGCAAACTCTGGGTTGATGCAATAGAGGTTGAGGGCGGCCTCTTCTGTGGTCTCGTCGTATTTGTAATCGATGGCACCGTCGCAACCAAAACGGACAATGAGATGAAGGGACGGGTTTTTCTTACTGACCAACTCAGTGAAGAAACACTCAGTTGCCGTATAAGAGGCAAAATCCTCCGCGGTCTTAGACCAGGATAGATGGCGACTAATGCGGGCTCCGTTTCTCCGGAGATCGTCGGCATCAAGGATAATCACTGCTCTGTGTTCTCTCTCTAACAGGGCCGTTTTCTGATCCAATACTGTCTTGTAACCCGATTTCCAAATCAATACACCCGGGCATTTTTTGATATATGTCTCCAATTCGGCACGAGTTGCAGAAACCCGTTCTGCAGAGACTCGGGCTTCGAGGCTCACCACCGAGAATTCAGGTTTCTTACCACCCTCGTTAACCACCATCTGCTTGCGACCCGGTGGATTCTGAGGCACATGAAGTTGGCGACGAACGCGAAACGTCTCTGCCTCGTGGCCTTTCCTTTTGCCCTTGAACAGCTCGATGTAGGAATGTGGCTCGCCTGCGAAAGGCTCGGGTTGTGTGGGCTCCAGTTTCATCAAGTCTTGGATGAAGTACTTCAGCAAATGGACCCCGCCTGCAAATTCCGCACGGCCAACCTCTCCTGTACCGGCAGTGGTCTCTGTATACCCAACAATGTCCTTTGCATCGTTTCCGAGAAGCACAAACTTGACGTTCGGTTCAGGGGCTGGCATGCCTGCGTCTGATGGATCTGGAGTGGGCACGGTGGGGGAGGAAGTTGGAGAAGTGGACATAAGGAATAGAAGTTCTTGTGCGGTTCAATCCCTATGTAGCAAACAATCACAGAAATCACAGAATCGTTGGGTTGGATGGAATAACTCTCAAAGCCCTTGGCGATTTGGGTTTATATAACACGGGTCGATCGCTATATTCGCGCCTTCCACGGCATGCAGAGCTGAGCAGTGCATAAGGTTTCGTCTACGGACATCCACAGTGAGCCATGGCCTTGCCTAGTCATGTACTCGGTCATGTCTGACAAGAGTCTGCGCAAACCACCGCCCTATCATGTATTGACAAGTGGGATATAACCAGTGTCAGGGGTTTGAACTGCATTGCGAATCCATGGTAGTAGTGCAGCGAGATATGTGAACCGAGATAGACTCCCATTTGCATCCATAGGTATCTCGATCTACCGGCTTCCATTGATCGTTGACAGTGATGCTCCATTCCTAGACTAAGTCTGCAAGTCTGTAGCAAATTCAACTGTGGAGGGTGGTATTCCGGATAGACATCTGCGATGGTGTCCAGCTTTCTCTTCCGGGTATCACAGACTGATCTACTTGAGCCACACTAGACATGAATAGCTCTGCCACCTGGTAACCCCTCATGCTGATCATAATCATGCATCACGCCTCACTCATGTTGCAGCGAACCACACAGTGCATCGTGTGTCTGCCCAGTGCGATGCCGATCAGTGATCATCCTATATACGGAGGTAGTTTCGATCTTTCAGCTTTCAGCTTTCCGCCTTGTCCCAGTTGTCTCCAATAGTTCTGTTTTGTTCCTTCTCAGCCCCACAATCTTCTGACAAGCCTTCTCGCAATCCCGCCCATATTAGCATTGTATATATCATCATGGCAGCATACATACCCTGCCGCCTTTTATGGCTACAATAAGGTATAATAAGCAGACATCACCTTCAGCCTACTCTACCAAACGCTCTAATAAGTCGGAAAGAAATTATATACCGGAAGGTCATAGGAGGTGGCATTGCTTTCATCATCTCGGAGCTCTTTGGTGCCACGTCATCGTCTTTCTCGATTAGGCTGGCTGCGTTCGTAGTCTCTAGACTGACATGCATAAGGCAGTGTTAATCAGCCGTAGATATTATTTCCGGCAGTAACAGCTGCCAATAGAATTAGTCAGATGGGGTGGATCCTATGCGAACGATGCTGGTTTCAGCTCGAACTGCGAAGCCTACAGATGAGTCTGGAATTCTTCTTGGGGTCCCACCCCTCGGTTTTCAGTTATGATCCTTCCTTTCCTGCACGGCGAGATTTGAGAGAGAAGATAAAGTATGATTGATCGTGTATACATCATAGTAAATATCAATATACCTCCTCGCCCTGGACCCCCGGACGCTTCAGAATCAGGGAAAAGAAAAGTAGTAGGGCCATTAGAGCCATTGTTGGCTTAGGTTGCGCAAAGGTGAAGAACTTATATCTTGTGTATCAGTTTTTTTTTTTTTTTTTTTTTCCCAAGGATGGGAGGCGTATAGGGCATGAGCAGAGTAAACCACCCGAGTAATAACGTATTTCCATCGGATGATCGCACAATGGGCCAGACGATGTGTATGGATCAACCGTTATACGTGCCCTCCTTGAACTTGTTTCTGATCTCGCCCAGAGCCTCCCTCTGGATTCCTTCCACATCAAAGTTGGTCTCTTGGAGCCACAGCTCCAGAGATCTCCTAATATGATTTCCCTCCCATTCTTCCTTCACGATTGAATACCACGCAGTATCTCTACTTCTGCCTTTCACAACCATATGCTGCCGAAATATGCCTTCGAAAGTGAACCCAAGCCTCAGGGCCGCGCGCCGAGACGCCTGATTGAAGACGTTACATTTCCACTCTATCCGACGGTAACCGAGGACCTGCAATGCATACTGTACCAGCAGGTAGACTGCCTCCGTCGCACCCGTCGAGCGTTGCAGATCTGGAGAGAAAAGCACGCTCCCAATCTCGACCCTAAGGTGCTCGGGAACAATGCTCATGAGCGATATCTGTCCCACAACACGGCACGTTGTCGCATCTTTGATGGCAAAGAAAAAAGGATCTGTGGACGTGGACTTGGCTTTTACCACGTCGCGGAACGCCTCAATAGTATTCCACGGCCCATCCATCATGTATGTCCAGAGCCTAGCTTTGGTCTCGTCATCTCCGCCGACAAGAGAGAAGAGCTGATCTGCGTGTGCAGGGCTGAGCCTGACCAAGAGCACTGTACGGCCTTCAAGCGACACAGCGGACGGGCGCAGTGCTGCTGGCCGTGACACAGCTAGCCCCAGTGTTTGTGACATGGGCGAGGAAAGTATAACCAACGATTCAGATCAAGCAATGGGTTATTTTACATCTAGAGAGGTGGATGCAACGGAGGTAGTAGCTATTATAAATGGTTTTCATATTTTCCGAAGATTAGTTGTCAGTCTTATGAGTCAGACAAGACTATATAGTTCCGTAAACTAAACCACCATGTAGGGGTTGCATAGGAAGACTCATAGCAGATGATGATATCGCCGAGTATCGGCACTTTGTCCTTGGCGTAGTCTCTATGTGCACCATAATATCTACGATGTCCAGCTAGTGAGGTTATTTTCACCTTAGGTAATTCTCCGGATAGTACAAAACAATCGGCAATTGAACGCTGTTCTCACTCTAATGATAGACCTCGGTATAAGAAAAATATCAAGTATGCATATGGGCGGAACACTCAGAGCGCGATCCGGTTTCCGGAAGGCGTTCGTCTGATTGAAACCTACGGCTATCGCGTCCTTTTCGCCGCCAATAGTTCTTCGAAACATTTTGATCACATAGAATGACGTGAGTCTAGTAGCAGCCAGGCCCGTCGGTCCCTCCAGGATCAATCAAAGAACTTGAATTTAGAGGATCGCGTCTAACCCGAAATCCCAAATTGGACATATGATATCAGAGAATATACACAACAGCTTTATACTACGTGATTCGAGTGTCATAATTACCTGATCAGAAAGTTGTGCTGATTATCGTGCTGTCCCAGTACTAGGACACTAGGGTGAGTGTTATTCATATTATGCGGTACGAGCCAGATGTACGGTCTGCTCATGTGGAAATTCCGTCACATAGAGAAGAGCACAGGTGTGGCAATACTTTAGACTCGGTTGGGGAATAACCTCTTTACAAGATAAACAAGTGACTGGCGTTATTTCTATGCTGCTCTATAGGATCACAGGCGCATCCTCACGATGATAGCCACCTCCCCAAACTTGACACGAGGAAACGATCTACCCCAATCTCTGCTCGCTCGCGGTCCTCACTGACCAGTAAGGATAATAGTTATCGGGTTCTGAGTAGACTTGCAGTTTTGGACGTCGCCGTTGGTCTTGCAATCGACCAGGAATCCACCCTGGCCGTATTGGCCAGCACTGTAGGTACCGGAGCCACTAAAACGCATCTGTTAGTAACCTCATCGCGTTATACAAACAGCCCTCCAAGAAGACCGGTACTTACTCAACATGAAACTGATGGAAAACTGCGATGGCGTAGTCGGTGTCACCTCCGCCGATCAAATTGATCAAATAGTCGGTGTCACCGCAGCGAGTAGCATCAGCCGCCTCGTAACTGAGGGTGGGGTTCTTGACACTGCAGGCCAGGTTCGTAGCGTTGTCGCCGGATAGTTTGAAGGAGACCTCTGTCACCTTGCCGAAGGCGGCTCTAATAATCTGGAGATCGGCGACCTTGACAGTCTCATCGATGGCGCCGATATCAACAGGAGGGGCAGCCAAGGCGAAAGAGGCACCTAGGACGGCGGAGGCGATAGCAGCGGAGAATTGCATGTTGGCTTAGATCACGGATCACCAAGACGGATGATAAATAGGACTGAGGCTGGATGTGAGACGGGACTCTTGAGAACCTTTTGTGCTGTGTGTTAATTGAAGGGACGACGGCATCTCTTTATAGGGCTTCCCGACTGTAGGATATTAGAAGCACATTGCCGTACTCCCGGCTTTGTAGAGATAGTAGTACCTTGGAAGTTATCGCGACGTCATGTTTTGGAGATTCGCATAACGAGACCTGAGAACCTTGAGGGTATATAGAGGAAAAATATGTGGGTCTCTAGTTTAAGGCGATGAACAAAATATGGCGATAGAGGTTGATTGAGGACCTCGCGTATCCTATCGTCTCCACTGTTGACATACGGGAGTATGCTTAGTGAAGATCCCTGCAAGGTTACTAATAAGAATTGATTGGGAAATGAGACAAGTTATCTCGGATCTTGTCCGCAATGTTGAGAAGCTGATTAATGTACCTTTCCAGCCGCGAGCATTGCTTCGTTTAACTTACGTTGGTAACTTGCATTAGCAAGACCAAGTATATCGCCAAAGCCACCGTAGCTAGTCTTAGGGAAGGCGGCATGCGTACTAGCTACATCACTATCCCAGTTGTGCAAGCTTAATTCGGGCATAAAACTTATGCCCTAGCAATCCACAAAGAAGCCCATGAAAATCCGAGAGTATAGTTGCACTATCCTGAGTCTGTTCAAAGTGATTATGAAGACCTGAAATACAATTCCCGGATTAGTGCTAGGCTTACTACCCTCAATATGGACTTACTAGTTGGTGACATTATAGGAGAGACTCAGAATACCTCATATTTGGTATACTCTTCATCTAGTCCAGTGATAAAGTCGCCAAGCTGTAGTAGATTTGCCATGGCGGCAGTGAGATTTACTCTACTAGCTGCTCTGCTCCGGAGAATCATTGTAAGAATGATGGCTCCAGTGAACTAGTTATAAAATATGGAATATCTATCTAATGGCTTGATGAATAAGTGAAGCCTTTCGTAATGGGCTCCTGTTATTTGTATGGCGCCTAACAGCAGTGGTGTATGGAGTAGTCCGCGGCTGAATCCTCTCACGAACTTGAACGTGATATATATTTTAGGCTCAAGCTACGTCGCATATTGTGCCGTCCACCTTCAGCTATCTACTTCTTTCGCATTGAAAATGAAAAGAAAACGAGGAATAAAGATATAATTACAAGGCAAATCAATAGTCGTGCATCATCTGTAAGGGATATATTTACAGAGGTAAATCCTCTACCACAGCCTCTTTGTTGAAAAGGCAATGTGTGTTCAATTATGTCCAGCATCTCCCAGGACTATTCGCTAATGTACCGGAGCTTTGTGGGTTGTGATATAACAGGGCATGAGATGTAGTATGCCACGCCCGAATATACTGAAAAAATGACAGATATCAATATTATCTCCATATAACTCAGGTTGGCTCAGGAAATACCCACGCTGTATCGAGTTGCTTGAAACAAAAGCTTTCTTGTCGGATAATCATGGGCCTCATATATAGGCCCCGGCGGCTTGGGGGGCTCACCTGGCATCTCCGCTAGTGGGTGAGCCTGGGATTGGGACGGGGATTTGTATGGTGTTTGTGGTGCCTGTAGCCAGGTGATTAGATTCGCACACGTACTCGTCTGATGTAATCAGCCTTGCCTGGATGTTTGGTTTGTTATTTTTGGATCGTCGCCATAGCATGTACCACAGTACTAGGAGGCCGAGTGCCACTACACCCACCGAGATCCCTACTCCAAGACCTATTTTCGTACCGCTGTTATCTCCAGAGGTACTCTCTCCTTTCGTTGTTCCAGTTGATGAAGGCGTTGGTGATGCGTCTGATGATGTTGATACCGGTCCGGTGGATGTAGTCGACGCTGTAGAGGAAGTCTCCGTCGTGGAAGCTGGGGCTGACGTTATCGGTGTGGAGGTTGCTCCAATGGGTGTGAACAAAGAGCTTGTCACGACAGCCGTATTGAGGGTGACAGAGGACCCGACAAGATCAGGATACGGAGGCAGAAAGTCCTTAATGTCGTGTGTATTGATGCCTGTGGTGCAGTTACAAGTAGGGCCATCGGCGCAGCAGTATTTATCGGCCGAACATCGGAAGACCGAGTTATGGACATGGTCCCCTGTTAGACGCTGGTTATCCTGCCGGGTGACACAAGGTAGATAAAGACGCTAGACAAGACCACTTACTGAAGAAACAGTACCCCGGCAGCCCGGTGAGTTCCAAGTTTTATCAGTGCAGCTGCCAATAACATAATATTGCCCGCTGTAGTGAGCGCACATGTTGTTTGTTGAGCAGACATAGGTGCTGCCTCCACAACACGAGGATACCGGGTTCTGAGGAAAGCAAGGTTGGTCATTAGGGGCTATCTCACCATTTGGGAGGTAGCATGTCATCGCGGAAACACAAGACAGAGATGGAATAATTAGGCTGAGAAGAACGCCCCGAAACAAGTCTTGATATCCTTGTCTCATGATTATCAGCCAGTTTGTCACCACGTAGATTTAAGGGACAAAGTGACTCCGGCGGCGAGATGTGTTCAGAGCACGGACGAGAAGGACTTTCACCACTTCCTGGGGGAATCAAGGCTTTGGCCTTCCCCTTATTATGTTGGGTCTCCCATCGCTGGGGTGTTTTATCGGACAGGGATCTGATAGCCCTAAGCGCTGCCAAGCCTGACTAGCACATAGTGCTGGTTCAGGGTCCACGAGGATCCAATTGGCCATGTACCAGCGGCGTAGGCACTCTGCATACACCGTCGCTTTTTAAGTGGGACGCAGGAGTGTCTTATTGGGCATTCATGTTAGACCCGTTCCTGTTTTGGTCTCAGTGGAGGATGACATGTGGGCTCCCAAAATTACCATATCTGCCGCAATTTTCCACCAGGCTGCAGACAGAGGACGATTGCTCTCTTTCTTAAACGCAGTAGCTCCCTTTTTCTTTAGAAAACAGCAATAGACGACCAGAATGCAGCAGCGCAGGCGGGCCGTCTGGCTTGGTATTTCAGCTCTTATTGTACTAACAATTACGTACGCTTTTCTGTCCATGCAGGAGGGCCCTGCACCTTTTCCCACCAACAGCGATCCGATGCCGCCAGAGACCGATAGCCGGGAGCCAGAAGAGGTCCCCAAAGAAACCACAACACACCATCCACCAGCACCAGCGGTCGAGCGAAATGCGACACGCACACTTGTGATTGCCAAACTACAAGAAGAGGATACCTTATGGGTCGACAGCCTTGTCCAAGATGACCCTCATCTTACCAGCGCGGTCTATGTGGTGGACAACAATACCAGTGTACCGTTCACTGTGCCCTTGAATAAAGGCCACGAAGTTATGGTCTATTTAACCTATATAATCGATCACTATTACACACTCAGCGATGTTTCAATATTTATGCATGCTCACCAGATCACCTGGCATAATAACGACTTTCTCGATTCTGATTCGGCTAAGATGGTCCGTCGGTTAAGAAGTCAACATATCCTGCAAAACGGGTACATGAATCTTCGCTGTCACCTAGATCCGGGATGCCCTGACCATATCCATCCATATATAGGAAAGGACTCCGATGATATTCTCAACGTTCCCGAAGCTGCTGTTATTGGTATGGCATGGGGGCAGCTATTCCCGGGTAGCCCGGTTCCATCAGTTCTTTCACAGCCATGCTGTGCCCAGTTTGCTGTCAGCGCGAGTCAAATTCGGCAGATCCCTCAGGAACGCTATCTTAAATTCCGCCACTGGCTTCTCGCAACTGAACTCGACGACCGATTGTCTGGGAGAGTCTGGGAATATGTCTGGCATTGGCTATTTACAGGGCAACCAGAGTTCTGCCCGGTTGAGACAACCTGTTATTGCGAAGGGTATGGAATTTGCTTCGATCCTGACGAATATCAGCTGTACTTTCGGGTTCGAGGCGAGGCGCGCAAGTTGGAAGGAGAGGTCCAGGAGTTGGAGTCGGAAGCGACCGAGGCAGACACCACGACCAGTGAAAGAATAACTGACCTGAAAAATAAGATTAATGAGCTGCATGGGAAGATGAACGAGATAAAAGCCAGGACGAAGGGCATTGGGCAATGATTACCGGGTTTGATGCACTATCTGGGCTGATTTCCAGGTGGCGTTGTTAGGTTTCCTCTTGTGTCATGTTATATCTATAGTACATTTGTCTGGCAACGGATGCATTTACTTCTCTTTACATTGTCTGCTGTCGGTATGAGGAGTACTGTCAATATGATTGCCCGGGACAAAAGTAAGGGCATGCCTCAATCAGGTGGCATGATGTCATGTGATATTTCGATGGCCGGTTCTTGTTGTCTACTGGTTTTTTGCTCATCTATGATCAGGAAGTTTTACATTAAGTGCGCACAGAATCGAACTTGGGTCGTCCCAAGGCCATAATTAATCGTTGTATTAGGCACGACCGGGTAAGTAATCCACGAGCTGTCTAGTATAGAGGAGACTGGCTGATTTCTAAAGGTCGATGGTTGTTAATAATCGTGACTCGAAGTAGTTGGCCTTTGGAGACAAATGGTCACTTATTAATGGTGTCGGAGCATTTTCGAGATGGGGCCAGATCCCTCCGATTGGCCCCAAGGCTTACTTTACGACGGGCAATACTCTCAGACGGGTGAACCAGGCTGCGATATTATCAATTTGCATGCGAAACTGCCCGAAATGGTGCATTCAAATAGGGCCATGAACCGACGCAGGACAAACAAACATCAATCAAGTTCCATTCGTCCTATCTATCTCAAAGTCGGACTCTCTACTGCGACGTGATGTCTTCCTTGAATGAGCTCCTCAAAATCGCAAACCCAGTTCGTGCGCATGCCTTGAAAACATTCAGTGTGACTGCACATCCAGACGAGGTGCTCCAAATCCCCTCGCGAGAAGAAGGGCGTTTTATTCGCATTCATGCCTACAATACGCTCAATCGGGATAGCCCGACTCCAGCCCTTGTCAACTTCCATGGTAGCGGATTCGTGAACCCTTTGCATGGGAGTGACGACGAGTTTTGTAAATTCATTGCCTTGAAAACTGGATTTGCGGTTCTGGACTGCGCCTATCGACTGGCACCAGAACATAAGTTTCCTGCTGCGGTCCACGACGCCGAAGACGCCGTTCGATGGATTCTTTCACAGCCGGAGACGTTCGACACATCCCAACTATCAATCTCGGGCTTTAGTGCAGGGGGAATCTTGTCTCTGGTTCTCAGCTCGGTGGTCTTCCCACAAGGGACATTCAAAAATGTATTTGCCGCCTATCCTTTAACGGATATGGTGGAAAGTCCTGCAGACAAGATTGCCCCTGATACATCCATAGACAGTGCACCGGTCGAGCTACTGGATATCTTCATACAATGCTATTATTCAAGCCCCGAAGAAGTGAAGAGTGTCCTTGCTTCGCCATCTGTGATACCAACTGAAAAGTTCTCAGGTAGGATTTTTCTCGTTACCGCGGCTTGTGATCGCCTCTGTCTTGAGGGAGAGGCGCTTGGAAACAGGATCAAAGATACGACAACCAAGTATATCAAGATGCATAGGTATGACGGGTGTGGGCACGCTTTTGACAAAGCATATGAGAAAGGATCGGTACAGGAGCGAGCGAAAGATGACCTCTACCAACAGGCGGCCCTATTCCTAACGGCATGATTATTTTGTATCTGTTGGGGTACAGCAGAAGGTTATTCACAGGGTGCTAAAGGCCCCAAGTCCGTCATATGCTTGTTATGCTTATTCGTTTCATGCCTTTTACTTGCCCATATGGCAACGACTGGAACTTAGTGATCGACTACTGGAGTACTAGGAAATATGTATAACCAGTGAGCAGCAGTAGGAGAAGAAATACTAAGCAACACCATGAATATCGGTAGTATAGAATCAAGCCAAATACACATACATCAAGGAACTCTTTAGACACTTTGCAATAGCCGCCCTTAAGCGAACATTCGTACATATGATGATTGTCAACTTACCGAGCTATTTGTCCTAGGGATAAAGCGGACCCCCTTGGCACCCCCCTTGCTGAGAATCAATGGATGGAATCCAGAGGCTGCCAAATATCGACGTACCACTACATCAGGAAAACAAAATACCACTTCTGGCCATAGGAAAAAGAGGGTTGGGAGTTTTCTGCAGCGCGTCCTGTGGCAAGTTCCAGTTGTAATTTGTGGACCTAGAATCATTCTATTCCAGAGACCATGTTCCTCTCCCATCCGAAAGACCAAGATGATACCCATCTGGTGAACGTGTTAACCCTGATATCTGGATACCAAGTATACCTCCTTGCCCATACAGCACATGTTTGGCTGGTCTTGGTTTCTGGATATCTTCTCACCAAAGCGTTTTCGTCTCCAAAGGTCCCCGACCTTCTACCATGAGTTCCTCAAAACCTCTTCCGCTCCTAAATCTGACAGGAAATTGGGTTATGGTCAGTGCTCTTTGGAATCCCTCAGAAACCGTACGGCGTCAGATTGAACGGATGGTGGTTATAGGAAAAAGGTCTATCAACGAGCGTTGAATTAACGATGAAGATGGTATGATTTCCCTGGATTATGTGTCGCTCAATATCTCGATACGAAATCACGCAACGTCAGTGCTTATCTAATAGCACCTTTAGCAAGGCCTAAACTGCATTGTTCGCCGGGCCCTCCGACATGTATCTATAACACTTACAATCATCGAATATGCCAGTATTGGAGCAGATAGCTCACCGCTGACGTTGCACCTTAACATGGAAGATACTGTGACCGGTGGATTTAGTGGTACAACTGAGAAGCAGACGCTCGACTCCACGATGGATACTCCCTGTTCCAGTGACCAAGTTCCTGCGGTGATATGACCTTATGGTCGACACGATCCTATCCCTCGCCAAGTACTCTGAGTACCAGAATAAGAGTCAGCATATTCAGACATGCATCTGCTTGATGATACCTCCGCGTCTTAACTGACGAGCGTTCGTGCCCTGGGGTACCTCTCGCCAATAGGCCAATGCAACGTGACTGCTCAATCGCCTTCAACCTGGAAAGAATATAACAGAGATTTGAAGCCATAGTCCCCGACGTCTCCGCGACGCGGGCTCCAAGAAGAGCTGAAGAGGAGAGAGTTTGAGGGTGATCTCGCATTCGCTCCTCAGCCCAGCCGCGGTGACCTGGCTTGCACCACCACCAGTCTCTGGGCGATTTCCACGTCCTCCACTTTAAGCGATCTGAGTGAGCATCTCCAAAGATCCCATTCCCCCTGTGGTCCTCCTCCTACTTGGTCCTCTCTGATCTAAGACCTCCCTGCTTGTTTGTTCCCCATTCCTTGCAAGCAATATGCACATACCCACGATTAGTTTTATATTATTACAATATATATATTGGACTCCTGCCCCGGTGATGGTATTCCCTCTCCACTTCAATGTTAATCCCTTATCACTTTCTATTCGCCCAGGAGGACGGAGTACGCCCTAAGCTCCCTCTACGTAGCCAAAGGTAATGAAGACATATTGGAAAAAAGGTAATGTATTCAATGGATAAACGAAGGAAGGTCACTATTAGTTTCATAATGTTTAGCCTCTCCAAACCTCCTCCAGAATATTGAAATCCGACTCCTGAAGTAACCCCATTATAGCCCGATTACTAGAAAACCAACCATCCAACCCCGCCTCATTTCCCATCCAGATCATCGGCTCTTCCCTCTGCTCAGATGCTTGTCTGATAAAATCATGCCTAGGGTCTGTGCCCAGAGACGGCGATTCCGGTTGATGGATATCATCTGAAACAGGTGCTGACAGTCCCAAAGCAGCCAGATACCCGTTCATCTCAGCACGCGCTGGTGTTTGGCCTGGTGTCTGGGATGTGCGGAACTCTATGTAGCGCAGTGCTACATTGTAGAGGACAAGGAAAAGACGGTACATTCGAGCAGCAGCATCGGAGACCGTTGGTGCCAGTTTGATGGATTCGACGAAGGCGTGTAGGTGAGATAGGTAGCTTTGATCTTGGGTTTCGATGACGTGGCAAAATATGACGATGAAGGGGGAAAAGGGTGCGAAAAGGAGGGTCCTAGTAAGCGATTAGAGATGTTAGTACCTTACGACGAGATGAAGCGGGATGGGGGCTTCATTCGCCTATGGCGTTATTTGGAGATACAATCTTACCAATGAATATACTTGCTGAAGTATACGCTGGCGTTCTTGCGTATCACGCCAATACAGTCATGGTGTCTCTGTAACGCGGCCTCGGCGGCTTTGATGCAGTTTAAGCTGAAGGTTGTGGAGGATTCTTTTATGGGTGGAGCGGCTCGATACACCAGCGTAAGGAGCGATAGACGAAGGACGTCGTCAGAGAAAGCGAAAAAGTTCATCAAGTCTTCACCAGAGGTCTGGCTGGCAGTTTTAATCCATTGACCCTATGCAATATGAGACTCTTTCATTCATTGGCCCATGCGTGACTTACGTGGGTATCGTTTGTCGCCTTTTCCAACGCCTCCAGGTCGTTCACAAGGATTTGCACTCGATCGTGCCGCACTGGGTCAGGTTGAGCGAGTGAGGAGGGGCTGTATAGCATCGCGTATATGTTGCCCTGGCATCGCGCACATTCGATCCATAAGGGGAAGTATGCCATGACAGGTGCATTGCTGACGCTGTTGACTGAAGGCCGAGGTATTGTTATCTCACAGTCGGGAATCGTTGACGCTCGCCCTAGGCGAAGTGATAAGCTCTTGTCGAGAAAGTAGACGCTCCAAAAGAGGAATAGTTTGTATTGTACAGTGTCTGGCGAGTCAACCTTCATGGACACATTCCGATGATAGCCCAGTGTCTGGCATAGCTCGGACGCCTTTGATGAATATGTCCAGGACATAGAAGGCTTTGCGAGCTCGATGAAGTGGAAAGCCTGCGAACTGGTTAGATCCAGCAACCAATCTCAAGGTACGAGATACGTACACCAAATATAAGGGCGAGAATTGCGCTCGAGGTTGCAGGTAGATGCAGAGGCAAATCAACTAGCGCGGCTTCGAGATTGGCTCGACATAGACACGCAAAGCCGAAGTATTCTTCGCGATGCTCCTCCGGCAGTTGGAACGCATAGTCCGAGAACAGAGAGTGTAGGCCAGCATTCACGGTGATAGCATCAACGCCAGGATAATCATTTGAGAAATAGACACCGAGGCACATGTCCGCAAATTGATTGAGTTGGATAAATTCATAGATCCAACCGGTACCGGCGAGGCTCTGGGCTAGGACAAGGCGGGTTAGATACGATACGACGGTGCTCATCACAATCACAAGCCGGTACTCACATTTCGCCAGACGGATCACGGCAACAGCTTTCTCAATGGGAGGAAGCTCGAGGCGTTTCAGTCGGGGACGGTGCGTAGGGGGAAAGTGAGAGTCAATGATTTCGCTCGAGGCAGTCTGCTTTTTAAGTGTCGCAACGGTATGAGCGAGCGCATCGAGAGTCTGGCGCATCTCTAGGCTGCAGTCTTGCACCGAATCTGCGCTCACAAAGCTTTGCAGAAAGTCGTTTGCAAAAGCTGAGTGGGCAGTCAAGGAAGAGTCGCCTTCCACGACGGGCCCAGCAGCCAAGTCGGCCGGGGTTGCATGGCCAGATACCACTGGGGTGGAATGCGACTCGTTGGATAGGGTTTGTGTATCCCTTGATAGCTGAGGCCGTTCGATCTCCGGCTGGCTTACTTTAAGATTGTTTAGAATTTCGATTATGCCATCGAGTCGGCGTTCGATGTGGTCAATCTTCCGTTCACTGTAAGGTGAGAAGACGGTCACTTCGGTGTATCCGGAAATGACAACCTAACAAGATGGCAAAGGGGCCACGAGAGTGCGCAGGCGGAGCACATACTACAGAGGGGTGAAGTGGATGCGAGTGCGCTTCTCTTTGATCTTAATTTCGGCATGTGTACATTCAATGTTCCTTTGCTCGCAATGCGAACACGGGCACTGACGGTTACAGCGTATCTAGAGCAAATCAGGTTCTCACCCTCGCAATCCTAACGTGGTGTCGAGGCATACCTTGCGGGCTCGACAGGCATCGCACTGATCATGAGTTAATTAACTATGGCGATCAAGAGTCAGGGGCCCAGAGGGTTGACAAACAGCTCGCGGCATGAGAGGGTTCCGATTGATCGAGGGTATGGCCTCGGGAACATCGGATTCACCGACCGGATGCGTATCCTCCATGACGAGGACGCACAAGTAGGGACTGCTTCGGACCCTTGGGAGATAGATACAGGCGAGATCGAAGTGTCGAGAGACGGTCCCCAAATATCCGCCGAGGCCAAGATTGAGGTCCAAGACTGAGATCATCCATTGGCCACAAGAACGGCCCTAATCCGGAAGCAGTGCCCGCAAAAAAAAAATTAAAATAAAATAAAATAAAATAAAATTCTACATGACTCAACGACTCCATAAGCGGTTCTGGACCCCCACATCCATAGATTATGGAGGCTCATAGCCGCCACTCTGCAACAACTGGTTCTTATCCATTTCTGCCAGCAGAAGTCCTGCTTGCATGCCAAGTATTTAGAATTTCTGTACTTATATATAAGCAACCGATATAAATACCAAGAAAGGTAGATATTGTAGTATCGACAATATATACTATATATGAGTATTATACTTATATTTTTATATTTTTATATTTACTATGTCTACTTAAGTTCTGCCAGAAACCGTAACTGCATCTAAAATTTTCTATCAATGAATATGTATAATACCTAGTTCTTAAGCGCTTTCATATAATATCAGATTTACCGAGATCGCCGTACAGGATACTGCTAGACTGTAAGATGAGACGTGGCGAGGACCCGCCATGAGCCTCCGTTTAGGGCTCCGCTGATCCACAATGGTGGGAGACGACGGAGCCCGTGAAATCCACGTCCGACAGCCAAGTCCCACTGATTGGGGCCCCTTTGCAGTATACAACCCCAGATCAAATCAACACCGGCCAAGCATGCGGATACCGTACATCGCGCCCCGGAATGGGAGGCCTCCCCTGTCCTTTACTCGTCGTAGGTATATAGGCCCAAATGGTGCCCCCAATTCCAGACACCCTCAAGTTCTCTGTTGTCCTTCAGTCTCTACGTACGCAGCTATCCTGCAAAGGGCCTCATGGATACCGAAGCAATTGAAAGCGAAAAGGCGGCGACGACAGCGCCGACTCCAGTCAAGCCTGAAGGCTTGTTTGCCACCTACAAGCGAATCTTCCGGTATGCTGGGCCTTTCGAGCTCGCATTACAGACCGTCGCATGCGTCGCCGCCGTTGCTTCTGGTGCCGGCATCGCTTTCCAACCCCTCCTCTTAGGGCAATTCGTCACCGGCGTCACCGACTTCACTTCATCGCAATTCTCTCCGTCCCAACTTCGCTCGGAAGCATCAAAGCTCGCTCTGTACTTTGTCTACCTTGGCATTGCCCGCTTCATCCTGTCTTATGTCTATAACACGCTTTTCACTTACACCGCCCTCATGATTACTCGGAACATCCGACATGAATACCTCAAGTCAGCTCTTGGCCAGGAAGTAGCATTCTTCGATGTTGGAACCGGAGGCTCGATCGCAACCCAAGCGACCTCCAACGGGCGCATGATTCAGGGTGGAATTGGTGAGAAACTCGGTCTTGCTTTGCAAGGCGTTGCAGCGTTCATCACGGCGTTCATAATCGCTTTCGTCGTGCAGTGGAAACTGACCCTGATATGCCTCTGCATTGCCCCGGCGACGCTCATCGTCAATGGTATTGCGGGAGGCTTGATGGGAGTCTATGAGAATCAAATCCTCGAGATCAACGCGAAGGCGAACGCCTTTGCGGAGAGCGTTCTCTCCAGCGTGAGGACTGCGCATGCCTTTGAAATTCGAGAGAGGCTCGTTGACAGATTTGACGAGCACCTGTCCAGTGCTCATAAGATTGGCAGCAAGCTGTCGGTCATTTTTGGCACGTTTTTCTCCGCTGAGTACTGTATCGTCTATTTGGGCTACGGTCTGGCCTTCTGGCAAGGTTTCCGCATGTTATCTAGGGGAGAGATTGTGGAAACGGGAGATATTTTTACGTGGGTATTTCCATTTTGAATGAAAAGGGCTTTTGGCTGACAGTGCAGTGTTGTTATGTCGGTCATTATTGCTGCTACGCAGCTGACCATGCTGACCCCCTACATGGTCGACTTCACCCGCTCCGCCACTGCAGCGTCTGCGCTGTTTCATTTGATAGATCGCAAGTCTGATATTGATCCGTATGATACTGTCGGCCATCAGCCATCGGAGGTTGTCGGGGATATTGAGCTCACCGATGTTACCTTTGCGTATCCCACTCGGCCTGATGTGAAGGTTCTTGACAAGCTCTCCATGAGAGCCCAGGCGGGCAAGGTCACTGCTCTGGTGGTAAGTCACTCATGAAGTCTTGGCTGCGTTGGAAGCTGAATCTTTCGCAGGGTCAATCTGGCTCTGGAAAGAGTACAATTGTCGGCCTTCTCGAGCGTTGGTATAACCCGGCGTCAGGAAGCATCACGTTGGATGGCCACCCACTCGACGAGTTGAATCTCAGCTGGCTCCGGAAAAACATCCGTCTGGTCCAGCAAGAGCCACTACTCTTCCAGGGGACTGTGTATGACAACATCAAGCAAGGCCTTGTTGGCACCAAGTGGGAGCATGCACCGAGGGGGCAACAAATGGAACGAATCCAAGAAGCCGCCACCATGGCCTTTGCGCATGGTTTTATCGCGAACCTGCCGAATGGTTACGATACCGAGATAGGCCAACGTGGTGGCCGGTTGTCGGGTGGCCAAAAGCAACGAATTGCTATCGCTCGAAGTGTTGTCTCTCAGCCTAAGGTTCTTCTCCTAGATGAGGCCACCAGCGCTCTAGATCCACATGCCGAAAGTGCCGTTCAAAAGGCTCTGGATAAGGCTATAGAGGGTCGGACGACGATTGTCATTGCCCACAAACTTGCGACCATCCGGAAGGCTGATAGCATTATCGTTATGGAAAAGGGTTGTATCGTCGAGCAGGGAACACACGATTCTCTGCTCGCACAGGGCGGTAAATATGCTCAACTTGTAAGATCACAAGACTTGGCTCTGTCCAGTCCATTAGAACCGGAGTTGGAGTCGGAGCCTGTCAACGATGAGAAAGTGGACGCCGTGGCGAAACTCTCAGTCCCAGCATCATACAGCTCAGTCGACAAAAACAATGGACACATGCAGCGGCATTACTATACCGATTACAACGACTACAAGCAACGCAACATCTTTTGGGCCATCTATCGTCTTCTGCGGGAGACCTCCGAGCTTCGCTACGTGTACTGTCTGGTCTTCGCGGGATGTATAGTTGGTGGTAAGTGAACAAAAGCGCTTGTGTGCCATTCATCCCCTTTCTAACAACAAACACCAGGAGCAACCTTCCCGGGCCAAGCGATTCTCCTTTCAAGTGTGGTTGAGACCCTCGCCCTGCCAATGGCGGAATTAGAACACAGGGGCAACTTCCTCGCAACCATGTTCATCGTTCTCGCCGCCGGTTGTCTCCTGTCGTACTTCATTCTCGGCTACGTAACCAATACCGTCGCCCAGCATCTAGGCCACAAGCTCCGGAAACAATGTCTCCACGACATCCTGGCACAAGATATTGAATTCTTCGATCGCGAAGAGAATAGTACCGGTGCACTTGTTGCGCGCGTGGATTCGAACCCACAGGCCATCCTCGAGCTGATGGGGTACAACATCGGTCTGGTATTGATCGCCGCCCTGAATGTGCTCGCGTGTGCGGTGTTGGCACTCGTTTACTCTTGGAAGCTCGGTCTGGTCATTACCTGTGCGGGTCTTATTCCCTTGGTCGGTTCAGGGTACCTGAAGATCAGGCTGGACGCGAAGCTTGATCTGCAGACTTCCCAGCGCTATTCGGCCAGCGCGTCTATTGCGTCGGAGGCCATTACGTCCATTCGCACGATTTCGTCACTTGCGATCGAACATTCTGTATTGGAAAGATACACGAGAGAGCTGGATGCAGCGATGGCGGACTTGAAGCGTCCACTATTGGCGGTAATGGCCAGCTTTGCCTTTACACAATCGGCCGAATATTGGTTCCTGGCTCTTGGTTTCTGGTATGGTTGTCGACTGTTGTCCTTTGGTGAGGTTACCCTTTACGCATTCTTTGTCGCCTTCTTGGGGGTGTTCTTCTCCGGGCAGAGCGCATCACAACTATTCCAGTTTTCTACTAGCATCACGAAGGGCGTCAACGCCGCAAACTATCTCTTCTGGCTGAATGATCTTCAGAAAACCGTGCGGGAGAGAGATGGAAGCCGCGAACAGGGCCCTGGTGCGGTGCATGCCCTCGATCTGGACAAGGTCAAGTTCTCTTATCCTTGTCGACCCGAAATTCCTGTTCTTGAGGGCCTTGATCTTAGCGTATGTTGCCCTTCCCGGTCTCGCGAATGGAAGCTAACCTGCCCAGTTTCAAAAGGGCCAATTTATAGCCCTCGTCGGCTCATCGGGATGTGGCAAGTCAACCGTCATAGCCCTCCTCGAAAGATTCTACGACCCATCCGCCGGCTCAATCACACTGAATTCGTCACCTCTACCAAGCCTCAGCCCACGCCTGTATCGCCAGATTGTCTCCCTCGTCCAACAGCAACCAGACCTCTTCCCAGTCTCCATACACGAAAACGTCGCATTGGGTCTCGGATGCGATGCCCGGGCGGATCTAGAGGTGGCAGACAGTCAAATAGAGTCTGCCCTGCGAGCTGCCAATGCTTGGGACTTTGTCTCATCTCTCCCCGATGGATTGGCTACGCTGGTTGGGTTTGGCGGATCACAACTCTCCGGTGGTCAGAGACAGCGTATTGCTATCGCAAGAGCGCTGATCCGCGATCCAAAGATTCTTCTTCTGGACGAGGCTACGAGTGCACTTGATACTGAGAGTGAGCGGGTTGTGCATGCGGGGCTTGCGGCAGCCAAGGATGGAGATCGGATTACGGTTGCTGTTGCGCACCGGTTGAGTACGATCAAGGATGCGGATGTGATATGCGTGTTTCATCAAGGTCAGATTGTGGAGATGGGATCACACTCTGATTTGATTAGCACGGGTATGATATATCGTAAGATGTGTGAAGCTCAAGCTTTGGACTAGATTTAGATTTTATATAGCGTTAATGGTACATTTCAACTGCAATATAATAATTAGGTTATATATTTTTTTCA